GTGAATGGATCTCTATGAAATTTTACCATAAGGTTCAATACTACAATAGGAAGGTGGGGATTGATTTTGGGGGTTAAGGAATTAGGGGCCAAAAAGGGGCAAAAAATAAGCATTTTTGTAACTTCCAGACATAACTTGTGTGTAAGTGTATGGATCTCTTTGACATTGTACCACAAGGTTCCATATCACAAAGGGAATGCTGGGATTGATTTTGGGGGTAATGCCTCCAAATTTTAGGAATTAGGGGCCAAAAAGGGGCAAAAAACAAGCATTTTTCTAGTTTCATGACAATAACTTGTGTGTAAGTCTATGGATCTATCTGACATTGTATCACAAGGTTCCATATCACAAAGGGAATGCTGGGATTCATTTTGGGGGTAATTGCTTCCAAATTTTAGGAATTAGGGGCCAAAAAGGGGCAAAAAACAAGCATTTTTCTAGTTTCATGACAATAACTTGTGTGTAAGTGTATGGATCTTTATGAAATTGTACTACAAGGTTCCATATTACAAAGGGAAAGCTGGAATTGAGTTTGGGGGTAATTACCCAAAAATTATAGGAAAAAGGGGCCAAAAATGGGCCAAAAATAAGCATTTTTCTAGTTTCCAGACAATAACTTGTGTTCAAGAATATGGATCTCTCTGAAATTGTACTGCAAGGTACCATACCACAAAGGGAAGGCTGGGATTGATTTTGGAGGTAATTCCCTCAATTTTTAGTAATTAGGGGCCATAAAAGGGCAAAAAACAAGCATTTTTCTAGTTTCAGGACAATAACTTGTGTGTAAGTGTATGGATCTTTATGAAATTGTACTGCAAGGTTCCATATCACAAAGGGAAAGCTGGGTTTGAGTTTGGGGGTAATTGCCCTAAACGTTTAGGAATTTGGGGCCAAACAGGGGCCAAAAAACAAGCATTTTTCTAGTTTCCAGACAATAACTTGTGTTCAAGTGTATGAATCTCTCTGAAATTGTACTGCAAGGTACCATACCACAAAGGGAAGGCTGGGATTGATTTTGGGGATGATGAATCATAAGGGGGTTCAAAACATTTGGGGGGGGGGGGGATTTTTTTTTTCCTTTTTTTTTCTTTAAAATTTTCCATTTTAAATTGGTTATTTCTGATTTATATATAAAAGCAAATATTAATGATATGGTTTGAATAGGTAAATTAAAATTTTTTTAAGTTCTTAGACCACTTTCATTATGTGTCAGAAACCTATGCTGTGTCAAATATTTAATTACAATCCAAATTCAGTGCTGTATCAAGCTTGAATGTTGTGTCCATACTTGCCCCAACTGTTCAGGGTTCGACCTCTGCGGTCGTATCAAGCTGCTCCCCAGCGGAGCATTTTATTTATATTTAAGGTTAAGTTTTGGTGGTCAAGTCCATATCTCAGATACTATAAGCAATAGGTCTAGTATATTCGGTGTATGGAAGGACTGTAAGGTGTACATGACCAACTGGCAGGTGTCATCTGACCTTGACCTCATTTTCATGGTTCAGTGGTTATAGTTAAGTTTTTATGTTTTGGTCTGTTTTTCTTATACTGTATGCAATAGGTCTACTATATTTGGTGTATGGAATGATTGTAAGGTGTACATGTCTAGCGGGCAGGTGTCATCTGACCTTGACCTCATTTTCATGGTTCAGTAGTCAAAGTTAAATTTTTTAGTTTTGGTCTTTTTTTCTAATACTAAATGCAATAGGTCAACTATATTTGGTGTATGGAAACATTTTATGATGTACATGTCAGCCTCACAGGTTTTATTTGACCTTGACCTCATTTTCACGGTTCATTGCTCAGTGTTAAGTTTTTGTGTTTTGGTCTGTTTTTCTTAATCTATAAGCAATAGGTCAACTATATGTGTTGTATGGAAGGATTGTAAGCTGTACATGTCTGCCTGGCATGGTTCATCTGACCTTCACCTCATTTCCATGGTTCATTGGTCAATGTGTAGTTTTCTTGGTTAAGTCTGCTTCTTAGACTATGTTAGAAACTATAAGCAATAGGTCTAACTGTATTTAGTATATTGAATGATTGTAAGGTGTACATATATTTCTTGTCAGGTTTATATGACCTTGAATTCATTTTCTTGGATCATGTTGAGTTTATGTGATAGTTGTAGTAAAGCTTTATATTTAGGACTATCAACATGATATCAATGATTAGTAAAGAAGGCGCAACATTTCAGCGTGTGCACTCTTGTTTATACATTCAGTGATATTGTTGTCTTTTTTCAAAACTACCTCTACCGTTTTTTTGGGGGGAAAATGCATAATTTTTATTGAAATTGGGAAGTTGGTTTATTTTTTTTAAACACATCTCCTATTTTTTGCTAAACTTTACTGTCTTTTTTGCACAGTTTTATCACGTTTATTTTGATTGTCAGACATTTTAAACCTGAAAGATACTTTTTGAGGAGAGGAAAGAGAAGGAAACAATGATGGTACTTAAATTTAATGCATTGAAAACCACATGTGTTACAAACACCGTGATGATTCTGATCAGAAACCTGGATCTCAAAAGCGCTTTCATAATACCAAAATAATAACATGAATACGAAATTTACGTTCATTAATACAAATGCCATCACTTTTGGGAAAAATGTAAAACTTATTGGGAGGAATTTAAAGCCATTTTTTTTAGTAATTGGGAATTTTCTCTAGGGGGAAAAAGCCGAATTTCGGATGTTATTTGAGGCAAACAATATCACTGACATTATACACCACATTTACTGTTTTTACCCTGATTTTATGGATTACTGAACATAGAAATGTCATAATGTGAAATTATAGTACATTCTTAGGTTAAAGTTTAAGGTTTAGGTACATAGCTTACCATGAAGTTGAATTTCATACACATGTTCATTATGTGTTGAATTTTTAAATTCAGTGCCAAACTAAGATTTTGAGCCTGATTACATGATTGACTAGACATTGACACATGCTAGTGTTTGCCAGGCATGTCGTCCTATACTAGGAACTTGTCCTGTACTATAAAGAACTTTAATAGTACTCGCTGAGTATGGAGTTTTTGTGAAAGTTTAATATTAGTTAGATTTTTGCATGACATCCTGTCAACTGCTTGTTGATCATGTTTATACATGTCTTAAATTTAATATCTGACACATTGGTGTTTTGTGAACTTGGAAATAAGTTATTTGATAGAATAATAATGTTTTGAGATTATCAAAATAAAAAACATCCCATTTTTACTATTAATGATTAAGTATTAAAAAAAAGAAGATTTAGGATATATGTATAACCATATATAAAAATGAGACAGCAACCGTACAACACAAAAATAAGAAAAAAAAACTATATAATTTTTTGTATCAATGTTATAATTTCCAACATGTCCAAAGAGTTCAATGTATTTTCTGATTGAAATAAAACACAAGTGGAACTCTTTCAGAACTTCAGAAGCTTAAAGAAGTGCTGTTTCTATTGTTGGCTTTCTGTATAATATATTGCAAATTCTTGTGAAAAATGGAATTTTATTGTATTTGCCTAAAGTTTTAACATTGATCTATATATATATATAACTGGGGAAAATACCTAAATGTTATAAAGAAGAATACATAAATTGATTGTTATATAATATTAGAATAGGAAGATGTGGTATGTTGCTAATTTGACAACTCTCCATCAGAGACCAAAGGATGTAGGAGGTTAGCAACTGATGACACTGGACAACCTTCAACAATCAGAAAAATCCATACCGCATAGCTATTTTTATTGAAAATCATATGTTATTGCTACATGTATGCAAACAATTTTTATTATCCATAACTTCGGATTTTATTGGTTCTTTTTCAGAAGGATTGAAATTCATCACTTAGAATAAAAGGAGAAAACACAGAAACAAGACCAAAATAAATTCAAAGACAAAAGTCAGATCAGTTATTATTTTCATCACTCAGTCAATGAATTGAAGTTCTATTAGATATCTAAAGATATTAAAACCACAATAATGACAATGTTCTGTGCTGATGGCCAAAAAGTGGACTATACATTATGATCACACAATGCTGGATGATAAGAAACTATTAATGTTTTGGGTGGAGGGATATCCTGAAAAAAAAAAATAGATTTATGTAAAAAGCTACTAGTATGTTAAGCCTATTGATAGCGTTTTCATTGATTTCAAATGGGAAAAAATTGTGTTGTGTTTGTTTCAAAAAAGTATTCTAGAGAATTCATAAATAAACATATATTGATACTTACATTATCTGCTTTGTTGTTTAAAAGTTTAGTTTTGAACAGTTATAGAACAATATAATTGCATTAACATTTCCAAGGAAAAAAAGATATTCAACTAAAAAGATTCATCTTAAAACAATTTACTACCAAACAGAATTCATTGTAACATACACATTTATTTACTGTATATTTATAATTTGAATCCCATATGATTTTATTTTGTCCCATGGGATATTAAAAATCCCATGGGATAGTTATAGTCCCATGGGATTTTTTTTGTCCCATGGGACAACAAATATCCCATGGGACTATAATTATCCCATGGGACCCAAAAAAATCCTATGGGATTTAACCAAAATCCCATGGGATAATGGTCAATCCCATGGGATTTGCCTTATCCCATGGGATATTGAAAATCCCATGTTTTTCTAAATCAAATTACAAAATATATATAATAATAACAGCAGAAAAGCAATGAATTTATTGAATCCCATGTAATTCCGCACATTTTGGTTATATACATGACACTGTAGGTCTAAGGAGAGGCGGCGGCGGATTTGCAAATGAGTGTTTTGCAAATTAAAAGTGTCCAGTGTTTAGTATTTGATATTATTAGATATTCGCCACACGTGAGTAGGAAGATTTTCTGAGTAGTCAACACATGGTCGACAAGATGAAATTAAATACTAACTATTATCATGAGAAAATATGTATGAAGCTAGTGTTTTATTGATTTCCAAACATATAATTGCAATTTGATGTTTTTTAATAAACATTTAAATACATATATTACAGGAGGAGGTGACCCCCATTTCATGGTTAAAATTGAAGGCATCGAGTATCCAATATGCTTTGACGTGGATGCTGGCGACGGAGATGTGATTCAGATTCTGAAAGATCCTTTATTAGGTTAATTGGTTGAAAGATTTATAGTCTACCATCGATTGCTTTCGGTTTTGGCCAGTCACTTCGGTGCCTTTAACAATTACAATAGACCGGCATGCAGGTGTCGGAATATAAGGACTAGACAGTAAACTTATTAAACAAAGAAAAGTTTAATTTTGGCTTTATCTGACATTTCATACTTTTAATCATTCAATCAATCTTGAAGTATAATGGATACATATAAGTTTAACAAAAAGTGAGAATAGGAAAAATAAAACCAAAAATAGAAATAGGAAACTACAATTTATTATAGCTTACATATTCATATTCATCTTGAAACTAATACCTTGACGATACTCAATGTTTTTTGTTTGTTAACTAATGTTGTTAGGTGTGTTCATTTTGATAATAACTTTACCTATCCATTTATTCTTCTCCGAAAAAATTGATTTACATGCTGTTCGTTTGATCTTAGATCTTTATTGGTCAAAATGAAATTATAAAGTCACAATTTCTAGATGTCCTCTGATTTAGCATTGTACATGAGATATCACGAAAGAGGCTACTGTGCCTGGTTTCGTCACATAGAAAGAACAAATAATTTTTGCAAATCATTTGGTTAAAAGAAATATAAAGTGCTAAACCTCATAAGAAAAACATATTTCATCATTTCATAATTTGAATTATTTAAATTTTGATATTGAACTGTTTCGATTGGAGTTGTAGCTGACTAATCTATATGTACACTCCCAATTTCCTTAAATCTTGTATTTATACGTAAATGTTATTTCAGGTATGACGATCAATGCTGGTATTATTGGTTCTAGGAGGAGAAATAGATTTGGAAAATATAAAACTTTTATTGGAAACATTTTTGTAATGACACCTTCTGTTCAAATCCATATAAAACCAAACCAAGTTATAGTTAATGGCTCCCCGGTATCTTGGAATAACATTGCTTATGCATCCGAACTTGTTAGAATACATGTTAACAAAACTGTACACCATGATGAGACAATGTTTATACACTTTGGAAATGATATTAGTGTCATAATTCGTAGATTAATGAATGACACTTATAGTCAGGGTGTTGACTATCTTAATTTTAACATTGACAAAGAAACAGGGATATCAAACATTGCCAATGGCATTTTAGGTGCGTATTATTCAGCTTATTTTTGTTTCATTTCCCTAATTTGCAATACGAAGTTTTAGGCTGCATCCCGGAAGTTAATATGCTGGTATTATATAATGACTAATGCACTAAAATTCAATGTATATCAAGATTCATTAATGTCCGTAAAATCAACAAAGTCCAGCCTTACTCATAACATATTTAACTGTATTCACACACCACATTCTCATCTTAAGTACCCTCACACAAACACACTCAACAAAAGTTATGATAAATTTTCTTTCATCTGCATAAAGCTTGCAATCAGATACCTGTATTGCAGTAAACGTCCCCATGTGTCCATAAATTATGTCAAGCTCTATTATCACCTCGAGTCTTAAAGTTAGGATAAAATATGCAGAGACTCAAAGAGCTGCAATCGACACCAAATTTTTGAAATAGCAAAACATTATGACATAGGACAACTATTAGAGCGGTCGGTGGCCCGGGAAAGGCACATGCATACGTGGCGGTTTAAATTAGAATTTTGATATATAAACCCTTATAATAAATTTTGGATGTAACACGTCTTCTGATTGGCTGAAATGTTTTGTCTATCAGCTCATAGACATAATTTTGTCATGTGACCGTGACGTCATCAACTTTTTTTTCATGATTTACTCCTTAAATATGGAATTTAGAATTAACATGTTAATTCTGTTATCATTTTTATTTAAAGAATGACTGTAATATTTTTTTGTCTATTCGAAATTACATAAAACTTGCGGTGCACACTTTTAAATAAACCGCTACGCGGGTTATTCAGTGTGCACCACATTTTTGATATTATTTCTTCATAGACAGAAAAAATATTACAGTCATTCTTTAAATAAAAATGATAACAGAATTAACATGTTTAACATATTAAAATTCGTTTACCGATACAAAGACTTAGGATTATTTTGTTTTATATGAAGAGCCAGATGGTATACAGTTTATGCCTAAAACACCACATATCGAAAAAAATAGATACTGGATGCTTTGGTTACCATTTAAAAGGTTAAGTCAAAGGCTATTTTAATTCTGATTATGGCATACAAATAGTCGTTCAACACTGGATGTCCATGCATAGAGTTTTTTTGCCACAATGATTTCAGACCAGTTACTAAACAGATAATTACAACGGAATAAATGATGATAAGAATGCTAGTATGTTTAGTCTGTATGATCAATTTAACATATCTTAACAAGCTTCATTGTACCAAACTGAATTTACATCAAAGATTTGAATCTCCTTATTTTAATTTTTTATCACTGTATGTTATTTCTGTGCAGTATTTAATATTTTACGTACATGCAGGGCCGGAGCCATATGTTTTAAGCAGGATGAAGTTTTAAGTTTTATCTCTAACATATATGCCTCCTTTATTTGCAGGTCAGTTTGTACATAAAAAGACATCCCTGTTAAAGGTTAGTCTTGACAAGCATGGACGAAAACACGGACATTTTAGGGAGTTTAGTAATAACCACAGATCTCATTTTAAAGCAATTTTGCATCAGAAGCCTGACATTATTAGTGGAGAAAAGGTGTTTTGTTGGAATGTACATAAGAAAACCAAAGGACTTCTTAACGACGATTTACAAGAGTATTTTGTTCCTGATATAACTTCTGTATAAACATGTGAATTCGTTTTACACTAATGTACATGGGTTTCATCCATACCTTTAGCAGGCCATTTTTCATTAGTGAAGATAACAATTCCTTCCATTTCTTTACTAAGTTTCTTTTTTTCTGACCATAAAATGTAAGGTGGTGGAGCGGTTTGTCCTGCTCAATTTTAGTTTTTGGTTTGATGTTAGTTTTCTATATTTTTTGAAATCATCAATAATTTGTATTGAAAACTTCTATGTTCATTTACGAATTGATACTTTCTTGCTGAACGAAGTGTATATAGATGACAATATGTGTTCATTCATAACCACTCTTGTATGCCATATTTGTTCATGTAGAGTAGTAATCAACCATAAATCACCTACGCTAATATCTTTGATAATGTTTTGTAATATAGAATAAATAGAGGATGTGCCTATGGGACACAGATGATGCCCCCGTTTGCATTTTTTTCATTTATATAGGGGCATAACCCGAGAACGGTGAAAGTGACGCCACCCTAATTCGAACTTGATCTGAGAGTTTTGGTCATAAGCATTGTGTATAAGTTTCATAACGCTTGGTTGCACCAAACTAAAGTTAGATAACGGAAACGAAAAATTCAGCAATTTTTCCTGATATAAAGGGACATAACTCGAACGATAAAAGTGACGCCACCCAAATTCGAACTTGATCTGTGTTTTGTGGTAATGATATTTGTTTGAGGCAAACTAAAGTTAGAGAACGGACGGACAACGGCAACACTTAATGCTCCCTCCGCCGCGGCGTAGCATATAAAAAAAACTATACACACCACCGAACACAACCCAAGACGAGATACTAAACCAAGCCAACGTCAACCTACTAATTGTTTGATTGTAATCGAACTTCGCATGTCACTATGTCAAATTCATTGTCCAACTAAAGTAATTTGTTGAAATCTGGTCAGGAATGATCTTTAGTTCATGGCATATATTTCATTGGTATATTTACACGTATTTTAGCTCACCTGACTGCTGGGTCAAATGAGCTTTCCTTATCACTTGGCGTCTGTCGTCCGTCGTCCTTCGTTGTCGTCGTCGTCCGTCGTCGTCCGTTAACTTTTACAAAAATCTTCTCCTCTGAAAATACTGAGCCAAATAAAACCAAACTTTACCTAAATCATTCTTAGGTATCTTGTTTGAAAAGTATATCCGATGACCCCGCCCATCAACCAAGATGGCCGCCATGGCTTAAAATAGAACAGGGGGGTAAAATGCAGTTTTTGGCTTATATCTCTGAAACTAAAGCATTTAGAGCAAATCTGACTGAGGTAAAAATGTTCATCAGATTAAGATATATCTGCCGTGGTATTTTCAGACGCATCAGACAACCTGTTGTTGGGTTGCTGCCTCTGAATTGGTAATTTTAAGGAAATTTTGCAGTTTTTAGTTATTATCTTGAATATTATAGTAGATAGAGATAAACTGTAAAGAGCAAAAATGTTCAGCAAAGTAAGCTCTACAAATAAGTTAAATTATCAAAATTGTCAATTGACCCTTTAAGGAGTTATTGCTCTTTAAAGTCAAATTTTCACAATATTTCGTAAATTTTTGTAATCTTTTACAAACATCTTTTCCTCTGAAACTACTGGGTCAAGTTAAACCAAACTTGGTCTAAATCATCCTTAGGTTATTTAGTTCAAAATATGTATCTGATGACCCTGCCCATCTAAGCATAACTCCTCCCTAACTGCTTGATAGATATTGATGAAATTTTACACAGTTGCAGTACACAACCCGAGATTGTGCATTAAGGAAAATAATCCTGGTCAGAAATATTTTCAGGGAGAAAATTGAACTTACTTAATTTAACATTGCAATATGTTGCAACAGGTCTCGTAAGCTCACCTCTCCTTAATGGCTTAATCAATATTGATGAAACTTTTAACGGTTGCAGAACATAACCTTGGAATATGCATGAAGGAAAATAATTCTTGTTGGAAATATTTTAAGGGAGATAATTGAACTAATGGCATTTACAACTCTATAAAATTATAAAAGAAGCATTAAATTCCAATAATCACATTTAAGTCTAAAATGATGAATCATGAAGTAAAAGTTAGATGAAGCATTTCGTTTGTTTTTCTATATTATAAAAAAATATGGTGCTGGTTCATTTTAAAGGCTGTGAAAATGCATAGATTTCCATTTAGAATTGTAAAAGTCTTTTCAGAGACGAAAGGCCTGGCTCGATTTATTGATGACAAGGATGAAAGCACATTTATCCAATAAAACTGGTGTACAGAAAAGAATAAAAACCAGTATGTAATAATAGCGATAATGGCTCCCTAAACCTGTTGTTATGTATTGATTAACGGAATGTAAAGTTTCACAATGGTTTATTGTCTTTCATTCTTAAGCATTAACAGTATAGGGACCATATTGGCATCTGAATACTTTTAATTTGAAAACAAAAAGTTATACAACTTTTTCTTGAACAAATGTAATGTTTCTTAGTAAGACAAAGCGTAAAAACCTTTTTAAAACGCCCAAAGAAATCAGTTGCATATTAGTTCCACAGCTTTCCAAAGTTTGTCAAGGTAATTGCCAGTCAGGTCTCTTTTTATAGGTAAATCATGTGTTCAGTTACATTTGTACAGTACCTTAATAATGTTTCTTATTTTGTACTTTTCACTAGCTCAGTAGCCAGTACAAAATACTGATATTGTTTGATTGAAACATGGCTGTAATGAAATATTGGAAATCATTTTAAATTAAGGAATATATATCCCTCATAAAAAGCTCTGATTTCTTGTCCGGATTTGGCTTTACTTTAGGTCTTTTTGGTTTGATCAGCTCTTCAACGTTTGCATTGGGTTTAGATTAACAATTGTTTCGGCTCCGAGTTTCACTGAAGAGACATTAATTAACAGAATGCGTTTCTAGTGCAGTAAAATGTGTACCGTTTATGTTATTAGATATGACATAAATGTGACGAATGTAGGGAAATTTGGTTTGTTTTCCTATTTACAAGTGATTTAAAGAAATTTCATTTGACAAGCCATTTAGATTCTATCTGGAACAAGCTTTTAATTTTTTGTTTATATTGAAGCAATATTTATGATTTATTTTTATTAAACATTGCAACAAATCTTATTAACAAAATCTGCTAAATAAACATTTAGTTATGTCTTTAGCGTAAGTTCTTTAATTTCAACAGCTTACACTCTGCTAAGTTGGTAAAACATCCGAATGAAACAAACTTGGCAGTTGAAACTTGTTTGACGAGTCAATTAACCCAGAAATCTTTTTGTGTAGATGCCAACATAGATGTCTTGTTTCCGAATTCTCCATTAACTTGAGTTTAGCCGAAAAATATTTGTTTGGTCCAGTTCTATTAGACCTGCTGGTAAAGCTGCCAACTAATCTACCTTTTCTTCTTATTACTTTTCGAACTGAAACTGTTTCTTGGAGAATTTCCCCTGCAAATAAGAGCAATTGAATTGTAAAAAATAGTTTACAAGGATCAAAGATGGAGTTACGACTAACACAAATTCACAAATATATGATAATTTAAATCTTAATTAAAAAATAACAAAAAAAGCTGGGTTTTCTTTTTTTAGAGTTCGAGCTTTATAAGGTATAGGTTAAATCTTCAAATTTATTCCAAATTAGTCAATTAGTACAAGCACTTTGCTTTGACTTAGTTTAAGTTTTTTTTATGTTTGTATCCTATTCCGATGAAAATTTCTATGCAAACTTCTTAATTTTAATATCACCAAAACAATCGTAACATCGGGTTGAATAACTTATGTAGATTATTTGATATGAGCATGCTAATTTCTTGACTAAAGTATATAATGTATACAAATACTCTAGCATTGTATGGGCGACCCTAGCTTCTTGCCCCAACAATATTAAAAGTTTTATATAAAAAAAAATGAGATGAGGTATGATTGCCAATGAAACAAATATCCACCAAAGTTAAAAATAAAGTGGAGGTAAGCAATTATAGGCAACCGTACGGCCTTCAACAATGAGAAAAACCCATACAAGGCCCCTACATGAAAATATGAAACAATTCAATTGAGAAAACGTACGGCCTAATTTATAACAAAACATATTTAATTGAAAAGAGAACACAAAAAGAACGAGCATCGTAGTGAGATTGATTAATTACCTAATAGTCCTGTACTTCTCTTCGATAGTTTTGTAAAATTATCAATATAAAAATTAAAGTATTTCTTTCCAACGTGTATTACTCTTTTCACTCGTAATGTAACTTCATGGTTAAGGTGAAATACAGTCATTCTTCTTTTATTGTTACTGCACATTATAAGTTTCTCTGTGGTAGTTTCTGTGCAATTTTGCAGTGGCCAATCAAACTTTTGTCCGTTGTATAATATTCCACCATCGATATTCATCAGAAGGGTATGGGCATGTATTGACACAAAAATATCAGAAATATACATCTTATCCTCTTTGAAATCTTCCGTTTCCGGTATAATTCCTATGTTCACTACCATTACTGTTTGAAAAAAACCCCGATATTTTAACATATTGTTTACTTTAGTCACGATCAGAGCAAGTTTTATTTATTCATGTTTATATACTAAATACAAATTTAAAAAAAAAGTTTTAATCCCTTATAATTTTATAATCTTTACTCGTACAATCCAATGTCATCATTAATCAAATAATTATTCAATATAACTTAAAATATACATATTTTCTTCTATTTTTCATAATTTCGGTTAACCGAATACGCAAAGGTTTAAACGAGAAAGCGACAAGAAAGAGAAGATTACGAGAACGAATACGAAAACAACAAGGAAACAAATAAAAAATGAAACGAAACCCAAGAATGTTTTCCAATTTAGAGAAAATGGACCATCTTTTTTACGAAGACTGAAGCTGACAACAGCAATATGAATGTGCGTGTAAGAGTAGGCTTTAAAGATTTGTGCGCATCAACTTAAAAACGCTCAAACTATTATTGTTATCAGCCTAGGTATCTCAATTCCTGGCAATAAGATATTGACAAAACAATCATGTGCACTTGAATAGTCAAGATAAAACATTTTCAACTTTTTCCTTTTAAGATGTTTTGAGACATCAACAAAAACATGCATCAAATATCAAATCTTTTCTCTGAATTTTACCTCTTGGAATTTGAAGTATTCTTACGATCGAACCAGGATCAGTCTTTATATCAAAGCAAATAGGATTCTCAATACCCTCTATTCTAATCTCGAAATGTGGATCTCCTTTTGCTGAAAACATGAAGAAAAATAGGAAATTTGTAAATAGTTTTGTTTAGTCATTATTAGTTTTTCAATGTGATATTTAATGAGGAAAATTCAGCCATCGGGAACTCATTAGGAGTTCTTGGTGCAGGTGCGATTCGGACGCAAGAGGTTTTTACAGTGTTGTTTCCTTTGTGTTTGTCCTTGTATTTATATTTAACTTAAAGTGTATCTTATCGAGAAAGTGTATACAATATACGGTATATAATATCAACTACAAAAACATTTTTTGGCTTCTTTGTCAATTTCCTATCAACTACAAGCACTTTTTTTGGGTCATATTTGTCAAGCTTACTATGAACTACAGCAACTTTTGTGTTAGATTTATTAGTATGTTTGTTTGAATTATTTTAGTCAGTTGTTTTGTATGTCTGTGATGTATGTTTCCCAATTATTGTCACAATAATCTATTATGTCAGTTTGGGTTGCTCAACCAATTTTGTAACGAAACTATAAATAACTGTCATACAAGTGAGAGGTTCAGCTAGTCATCAAAGCAGATTTAACCCACCATTTTCTTCGGAAAATGCCTGTCCCAAGTCAGGAATATGACAGTTATTGTTCACTCGTTCCGTTGGTTGATAACAATTGATTTTGTCAATTGTTATGGACTTACCCTGTTTTTAATTTACCTTGGAGTTATTTGTTATACTTTTTTGGTACTGTTAAAGAGTCATGTTTTCCTCTTCCATTTTCTATCGTCCTTTGTTAGGGCTATTATATCTTTCGTGTTACTCCACTTCATAGGACCAAAAAAACTATATTCCATAGAGTATATTTGTAAACATATGTTGCTATATATAAATACAAAAGTAAAGCGAATAGAAATACCTGAAAATTCTGAATCTCTTCGTTTTGGCTTATTTTCCTTTAACTGGTCCCTTTGATTATGGGCTACTGCATATACAACTTAAAAACATTAAATATAATTGTTGACAAAGTTGAACATTTCATCTACAAAACTGACAGGAACGTTAATTTTACGTTTAAATGTATTTTACTCATTCAATTGAGGCGATCTTTTTCTTGTGCAAATTGATACAAGCAACGTATATTTATAAGAAAATACAGTGGTATTTTCGTTTTATGGAGATCTTTCAATCTTTTTATTCTTTAGTTTCATTTCCAATAAGCATTATTTCTACTATTGAAAAGTATGTACCAATTAAAGCAGAATAAAATATTTCACATTAAGTTTAAGTTTGTGAAATGTAAAACATTTCATGTCAATTTCTAATTTTTTATATCTAATTTCACGTTTCTTTTATATCAAATATCAAAAAATTATATCTCCTAACAATCAATATCCTGAATCAGCTATCTTAGCAAAATTAGAACGCATCTGACATACAAAATTATAAGCATTGTATCTGTTTCCCTATTTTTTAGTGAGATAAAAGACTGTTGACGTTTATACATGTAGCAGTAAAAGGCATACGTGGAAACATATAAATGAATAAGTACATCTTGTAATATTTCGTTTGAAACCCTTTCATCAATTATTATCAAAATGTAATTGTAAAGTGTGTCAACTTATAAATTTTATGAACTAATGGATGAAAACGATTTTTTTTAAATTCGTATCAGTTTGAATACTTCTTCTTTGCAGCGTTATAAAAATAAAATGACTTTTAAATCAATTAAATCGCCAAGTGCCAAAAATTATATATAATTATTTAATTGCAAATATTTAAATGCAAATTTTCTATTGCTTAACTGCATCTTTATCGGAATAAATGTTTTGAATAATGTCGCTTGCTATTTTAAAACATGTAATTTCGTCAATTTCAGAACCCCTTATACATGTTATATAGCCTGTATAGTTATCGCTTAGTGGCAAAGGGGAAATATTTATATTTATGAGTTTATTTGTTACCGTTGACGGGAAAATACCGAACTTTCTTGCTTTATCATCGCTAGTTGGTTAATCACTATCTTTCACTATGGACAAGAGTTGTGACAGTAGTTTGCTAATGGTCGATTAAAAAGAGAAAACAAGACTTATAAAAAAAACCACATAAAGACAAATCTTCGATTTCAAACATACACAGTCAATTGCTTGAACAAAGTGTTAATTTCAGGATAAATTTGAAAAGCATTGTTTTTTTTTCTTTCGTTCGTGCCCGTGCGATTGTTATTTCTACAATCTTATGTAGGCATTCAAACAGAAAATTGTATTCATCTGATTTCAAATGAGCATATGTGTGGTTTGAAATTTTGAAAATTTTCCTATCAGAGAAGCATCGTTCGTGATCATGTTCTAACATTCCTATGAGTTTTGTTTAAAATGATATTTGTTTGAAAAAGCGGCATACTTTAGATATATCTTGGTAACAGCCGTATTTGTTTAACTGGAACAAAATTGTTCATGCAAAATGCTAATTTTGTTTTAACTTTATAATTTAAGTTGGAATGCCTATCATATTATGTTTTTCATATAATATGAATACCAGGAGTTGCCGCCCGTATACCACGGATTGTTCAGTGCATAATATTTACTAAGAAAAACAAATTTGTGTTATCTCCATTTTAAGGCAGTTTAGGTCGTGTCTCAAATTACTTGTAAGCTAATTTTTCATCGGATAAAACAAAGGAAAATCGAGTAAATCAATCCACACGACGAACATATAAAAGTGTTTATGCAATTATTTTGATTGAAATTAATAAAAGTTAAAGAAAAGGCGATAAAGCTACTTTCTAATGATAGCTAGATAGAAGGCTTTTAACGTTATCTTCTATGTTAAAACCAAACGTCTTTCAAGTCATATAGATTCTGGGCACAGAAATTTAATATTCATATCGTCGAACTAAAGCCAAAGAAACATAAGAAATTTGAATTTTCAGCAAAAGTCATGAAATTGTATCAGCTGTGAGGTATACGTAGCCATTGGTACCTTAAAACGTAACAGCAATTTACCGTGATTAAAGGTTTTGACGGCTTATCACGTTTTCTGTTGGTTTTCACATGCTACTGATTGTGTTAAATCTACAAATCCTTGATCAAGAAACCAACACAGATAAGCTAAAGAAAACCACAGAAAATATAAAGAAGATTTACGCTGCTACTTAATTTGAATATTGCAAATTTATTTGATGTGTCCTATTAGGCTTCTTAAAAAATTGAGTAATTACGGGATTTGAATTCCCTTTGCCTTAATATCAAATCATGTTATTCCCTTATCACATTTTTCAAGGACACTTTTTTTTTATTACAGATAAACAAAATAAGAACTTTTGCATATGTTTTCTATTTAATTTGCATAGTACCTCTTTCTTCATTGTCTAGGACAACATTACTTTCTGGTTTACCATGTCTTTCAATCAAGACTGCAGTAAGCGGTGTAACATACTTATACTGCAAATAGAAAATAACACTTATCAATTTCGAAGCATTTCGTGCATCCGAATCGCTTGTCTTGATTTACTTTCATCAGGAACACTCAAATTTAAATCTTTAAAAGCCAAGGGTATATCAGGTCAAAACACGTGAAGAGCTATGTGTCCAGGTTTATAATTGTGTAAGCCTTACTCTACAAAGGACTCGTCAGTGACGCTCGAATATAAAAGATAAAAGTACAACTAAGTTTAAAGAGCAACGAAGACCAACAAATCCAAAAGGTTTTGCCAAATACAGATAAGGTAATCTTTTCCTTGGGTAAACATTCCTATGTATTTCAAAAACATTCAAAGTATTTTGAATCCAAAAGTGTAGGTCCAAAAGGGACATCAAAATAGCCAAATCCCTTCAAAAAGAGTATACATCGTTTTATAGTTAATATTTGCAAGTACATTGTACAATGCCGTCAATATCTAATGGTCGAGCGCATGCACTTCCTGTTAGAATATATTATATAGATATAACGCTTATTCATAATATTACTTTAAAAGTTTGACCGAGGAACTGGGAAATAGCTAATGTAATATAAGAAGTAAATTTCCCGTTTCCATTCTCAGTCTTAATTTTTTTTGGATTAAAATTTAATCTGATGAAAAATGGGATGTGAGAATTTCTTCACTTCTTTCATTACATTTTTCTATACTTTAAGTTCAAACAATTATCCCTTAAAATGTTTGAACGATCTTCATGAATGTGACAAACAAACTTCTTCTACATCCATAAACAAATTAAACAGCTGTTCCTCCTTCACTATATGACTATTCGTCCAGATAATTTACTTAGAACTAATTACATATCTTTTATTAAATACATTTATATCAATTGTGACACTATAACTTTCATCAACTTTAAATCTAAGGACAAATCAGAATAAAATGTGTCGATTTTATTCAGTTTGATACAACAAACACTTTAACGACATGTTTGCTTAATTATCAATGAGCATATTGTATATAGAATCGGTAGTGTTGGTCTTCAGCGTTTTAGATTGTGATAATATTTGAGAGACAAGGAAAATCAATAATAAAGGAGTTAAACAGTTTAAAGTACCTCGAATAATAAAAGAAATTATCTGCATAGGTTTGTCTAAGTCGTAGGTGTTAACCTCTCCCCCTTTTTTTATAGAAGATGCTTAGGTGTGATTTGTGCTTATTAGGAAACAACATCATCATCATTTATTATTATTACCATTACTATTAAATTATTTCTTTGAACTCACATTAATGAGCTGTTTGGCTTTACTAGTATTTTTTAAAAACATTCCTAATCTTAATGAATAGTATAGCTGAAAACGTTAAATTAGAATGTTTTTATTTTAATTTTGCGACTATTGACAGATCATTTTGAAACCAACACGAAACGTACCTGAACAGACATTGTTAACAGTGTTTCTTGTAAAGCTTTAACCATTGTAGAGTCATCGATAGCTTTTTGAATCGACATCACTTCTTTCAATCTTCTATGTTTCCATATTGCCTCAATCGTATTTTTACGCCCATCGTCATCGATTACAGAGACGCTTGCGTTCGATAACATGGTCAGTCCCGATGCTCCAAGTCCAACAACCGTAGAATTGAGAAATTTTGTTGACTCGTTTTGAAATTTTCCTGACGTCACAATTTCGGTATTTTGGAATAAAGTTTTGAAATTCGTTTGTGTAACTGTTTGATCGTTGACAACGTTATCCATGTATACAATATTGATATGCTTCATTAATGTAGTAGCAACATCGTCATACACACTATCTATGATTGAACTTGATGTACCGGCATTATAAATATGTCGCGAAAAGCCAAAATTTTGAGACGCAATCTTAGACGTTAGATTTTGATCTGATTCTTTACCTAAACTAATGGTAAAGATGGGAATTCCTAAAATATTCCTTGATTTAACTCTTTTCGTTATTAGATTTCTGTTTGTTATACCACTCGATGCCTTTCCGTCGGTTAGAAATATAATAATTGGTGAACGGATTTCGTCTACTTTGACAGAATGCAAAATCTTTATGCCTGCTAGTAAACCATCATGAATATTTGTACCTAAATTATAAAAATAATAAATTCAAATGTAAATGTATATCGATGCACATTTGAGTATTTTGGGCTTTAATTACAAAAGCAAACTAAATGGAATTATTAACATACAATCGATGATTTACCATTTGGAGTTTTGTTTATTTCATTTTTCGAGTCTATATCAACAGTTTTTAACTTCAAACATTTGCCGCAAGTTAACAAACTACACGAACGAAGTGTAAACATTGTGTTAATTAATTAGGTTCGCGGAGCTAATAATTCTATTCCTCGCTTGTCCATATGTCAAAATTCTAGGTACTTTATTCATTGGATTTGAATCACGTGATTTCAGCCCTTTTTGCAAAAGTATCTCCCTCAGTTGTTGATTGATAAATATAAATTATATCTAATTTGCGGATATTCAAGTGTTTTCCGTCTTGGATCCTGCATCAAAACTTTACCTGTTAAAAAAAAAAAAAAAAAGAAAAAAAGAAAAAGGAAATTAAAATTTTGAAAATTTAGGAAATGGGAAGGATAACATCTCCATGTTTTTAAAAATTTTGACCGAAAATTAAAAAAAAATACAAGTGAGATAAAAGGGGTTAACCTAAAAAGTCAATCATCAAGGTATTTCCCTGTATGCGAACAAAAATCATGAAAAATCTCGTTCTGTTTCTGTATTGATATTTTTTATCTGGCTTTTTCAAGAATTTTGGTTAGTTTGTGTAGCAATTATACTACGGTTATGCTTCCGATTTTCAAACTATGAAGGCCGAACGTTTTCAAAGTTGACAGCGCTTATTTGTACTTAAACAGAATGCAAAAAGTTCGTACAATTCACCTATATGCAGGCAAATTGTTGATGCTACTTTGAAGTGGCATATTTAAATATTTATTTTAGAAGTATGTTTGATCCTTAAGAATGAACGCCTTTCAAATTAAAAAAGTACAAGAAATTTTGCCATATGTCTAGGGGTCAGCTGAAGCCCGCCTCCGGGTGTGGGATTTTCTCGCTGTGTTGAAGACCCATTGGTGGCCTTTTGCTGTTTTTCTGCTCTTTGGTCGGGTTGTTGTCTCTTTGGCACATTCCCCATTTCCATTCTCAATTTTATCTTAATAGATTGGAAACATATGACGGAATAATTTGTTGCAATCAATAAAAGCAGTATCTGTAAAACACCAATTTTAAAATATTGTGAGACGAAATAAAGTACCAGTAAATATACACCATCTATGAACAGATATGTACTCTCTTACACATAAATTTAACCAGGTATGATCAACATTCAAACGCCATATAAGAGGAGATGTACATTGTCGAGTTTAGATATCTTTAAAATAATGTTATATAATGTCCAAATTGTAAATGATTAAATGACTCAGTGTCATTGTCAAATTTATTCGAGCGTCACTGATGAGTCTTTTGGAGACGAAGCGCGCGTATGTCGTGCACATTTTTGGTCATAGTGTCTATGATGAGTTTATTTACTATCTACAACACCTTTATTGTAAGTGTCTTTGTTAGATTAATTTGTATGTTTGTTTGAATTTTTTAGTAAATTGTGTTGTACGTCAATGATGTATGTTTACACAGTTTTGGCTGCTGGATCCCAATTATTGTCATATTAATCTTTTATGTTTGTTTTGGATGTTCACCCAATTTTGTTAATATAGCGGAACTATAAAGAACCGTCATACAAGTGGGAGGTTTAGCTGGCTATCAAACCAGGTTTAACCCACCATTTTCTTCGGAAAATTCCTGTACCGAGTAAAGAATATGGTAGATGTTTTTCACTTGTTCCGTTGATCGATAGCGTTTGATTTTGTCAGTTTTTATGGACTTCCCGTTTATTGAATTTTTTCTGTATTTTTTTATATACTTTTATACATTAAATTTGGACACACGAAAATAATATTCTCATGCGAACAATCCCTTTGCACATGAAATTCCTTTCAAGTGTTTACGTACCTCCATCAGGTGTCATGAAGTAAATCATATTTTTGGCATCAGTAATACTTCGATTGGTAACTTTTTGCAGTTCGCTCTCAAACATACCAAACGACGATTCGAAGACAACAATGTTAAACATATCCTTTAAAGCAAGTTTGCCCAATATAGTAACCATTGCGTTCTGGAGTTCCGCAATGGGTTCACCTGTCATTGATCTGCTCGTATCTAAAACGAATACGATATCCTTTGGAATAACTTGAAGACCAGTTGGTGCTAGAAAATGTACAAAGAAGCCATCTTCAATCTAAAACATATTTAAATATTATATTAGTGATGTAAAAACTCACCGAAGATGCTAGGCTGATAATTTGGACGTGCGTTTCGTCTTCATAAGACTCATTAGAGTCGCTCGAATCAAAGTAGTTAAAAAGTAAATGAGTCTTTGTCTGACATGTATGCATCTCTTTCAGAAAGAAAAGAAAACTATGTAGTTTGTAAATTATAATACGTTCTTGGCTATCAAATATTCGACTTTGAGCAGTCCTGATGAAGGTAAATAAAGAAAATCACTTTGGACGCATGAAATTTATAATGTGTTGTTTTCATATTTTTTCAAAAATTATTTTGTAAACATAGGAATAACGCTAATTTATCACTATTCTTATTTTTTTTGTTACATTGTAATAAAGAGACATTGTTACAAGTACATATACCTTTGCAATACAAATAGCAAATATAATTTATAGATTATCCTAGTGGAAAACAAATCTTCAGTAATCTTGTGAAATTACCATCTTTATAACATTTTTTAGTAATTTGTTCTGCTTGGCTACGATAATACTATACATTACTTATTTTTCTCGCAATCATTGACAATACTGCAGCAGCGGAATTCTTTTGATAATTCTGTATTGTAATGTCAAAAAGAAATATTATTTTTATTGTTTGAAATCAAGTGTTCCACAATATCTGTATTTGCTAAGCAGATTTGAATGTAACAAGAAATTATTATTTTAATTCATTCAAGATTGATACTCATTGTTACATATGTAATGTATAGGTACAGAGAAACAGTTTAAAAAAAAACACAAAAGTGTAAGTTTACAAGAATCTCTCCTGCATTCTGACTTCTTTCTACGTCATATTGCACTTCCAACTTTTGTAGACATTCCATCTGGTTAGAAACTACATTGTATGTTATGACTGCTGATTCGTTACTTGGTCTTGTGAGATGTAGTTCTTTGCTTTTGTCTACAGTAGAAAAAATATTAGCAAATCAGTAACTGATCTACATGTGAATATAGGACTTTTATCGATGGTTGACAATTATTCATATTGCGATTTTTGTACGAACACTTTCAAAAACTAATGTTTTAACTCCCTCAGGTGAAGCTGGTCTTAAATAGATATGGCTATTATAGGTTCTTTTGGTCATATAGCTCTTCAACTGTTTCAGTTCTTCTAAATCCTTTGATTTCAAATGTAACGTTCTTGTTAAAGGTAAATCCAGAAAAGCGTTTCGAATGCATGAAATTTATAAAGTGTAGTTTTCATCATTTTAAAGACTTTATTAACTCATGAATTTCCTTCTTATCGACTACATGATGATTCACTGGGGAAAAGCAGATGCGCGTACCTAAAGTTACCAGCAAAACAAGAAGGAATACGCTGAAACTTATGAATCAAATTTTTGGCTCCATTAAATTGTTCTATTCAGAGAAGAAAAAAAACATGTAACAAGTGGTGTTTATAAGGTCTTAATAATTCCATTTAAAAGACTATAAATAAGAAGAAGGTGTATCCCTATAACCAAGATGCAGGCCCGAAAACCAGGAAAGGATGCGCGTAACTGAAATCTTGTGATAATGGTAATTGTATTTGAATATTTTATGCTTGTTTCTTTGTTGAAATACGCATAACTTTATTAAGCGCCAAATGTTTAATGCATATTCAGAATGAGAATAAGTTAAACAGTATATGAAATGTTCGAGCATGAAATCTCTATTGACCTGGAGAAAGGTACATTGTCACTAAAAAAACAAGGATAAAGTTGATAAATTAGAAGTTCTGCTTTACAATAACCTTATATAGACCATTCTAAAGCGTTGGAGAAGCGAGCTGGACATTTTGTCAACATGTGATATTGAGACGTCTCATTAATGGTTTTTAATACTTTTATTTGTATACTCATAAATAATACACATGATTGAATGATGTAGAATACATTTCTTTCATGGCTGTTCTTCATTCTCAAACTTGCTTGATAGTTTCAGCAACGAATTATACGATATAGAGTATTTCTTTCTAATTGTCGTAAAATACATACTTTGTATATTTATTTTCTAACAATGAAATCATTATTTAGAAAATTAAATTGTATATTTCTAAACTCACTGTTGACCTCGATTTCCAATGATGCACTTTATTACAAAAATCTGAAATCGGTACATGTGTACCCTGCTGGTTTTTTTTACTATATAATGAGTTTTTGGACCACTTTACAATTATGTAACAAATTGTAGAACTCAGTTTTATATTAAATGTACTTGATTCATCATCAGATGAAAAATTGCAAAAAAAGGCTTGGGAAATTTATAAAAGTTCATAATAATGCATCTCAAAACAAAGAGAGATACTGTTGTCTGTATTCGAAGTAAAGCGTACCATTAAAACAAGTAATTCAGTATTTGATAAACGTTTACATTCGTTATGTTTTTTATATGTAGCATAGGAGTTTCAAACATTAAAAGACTCTTCAAAATGAATATCATTGATAACATCAATATTGCACAAGGTTATCGTCTTATTAGATACCGCCTTTCATTTTATTGAAATAAATAGAACCTCTCCTTATTTTTATTGCATCTTTAATTTAAACATACTTATCACTGCTGTTTATGATCTAAATAACACTAGTTGATACTTCAGATGTATTCAGTATTTTTGATTATATCATGACAAATATAAACAAAAACAACAGTATGTCTTTACTATTTAAATTGATAACAAGGAATATAGGTGATATGATGATGGATGGCTGCTTAACGTCCAGCGGCAAATTAATATGCATATTCAGGACGAGAACATGTTAATGTAATATGAAGATTAACCCTGCTTTGTACTAGACCGACACGCTGAGCCGGATTTTTTTACGTGCTAGTTCACAAGGTAACAGCCCGAAGGAAGACATGTCACCTTACTCGGACACATTATTCTGACTCCGAGCCGACCATTCTTTGGCCCGGCCGGGGTTCGAACCCACAATCTCCCGCACTCGAGGCGAACAAGCTACCACGAGACCACCGAGGCGGATAAGAATATAGGTAATGTGTAAATGAGAAAGTATCCATAACACAATAAACAGAGATAAGAAGACTAGAAGACAACATATGGTCTTCAACAACAGACGAAGTGGAAATATTTTGTCAAGCTGTAAATCGTTCGCATCTAGTTGTGACAAAGTACATAATTTGCCAGAACCTAACAAAGAAATAACATCTGAACCAAATGTTTAAAAAGGACAAAACAAAACTATAGAATTGCTTAGTGATCCGATAAAAACACAATAAAGCTTTTAGTTTAATAGAATTAAATGTATGTACATTTATTCGCTTTTGTAGGTTCTTGATCCTTTACAGACCAAACCAACAATATTGAACATTCCTTTCCTGTCTTAACCACACACAAAAAAAAAGAAACCTTGAAGAATATGCATTTTGTAAACGAAATAAAAAACGAAAAGTATCCATTTTTTCACCTTTTTCATGGTTTTTTATTGTAGAAGTTATATTCTTAACACACGTGCGTCATAAATTACAGTATCAAATATTGATTATATTTTACTTATAAATGTCAATCTAATGAACAGATAAAAACAAACCAAAATTAATATTGTATACGAAGTTTACAAATCAAAGCGGTAATAACTGAATCAAGGACGTTCTCTATTTAGTTTTTAACTACAAAATTTATACAGAAGTCAGAAGTATGTTGGTTAAAAAAATGCAAAATAAAACATTTTCAAAACTGATGCTGCGTGAGGACATTTCCAGCACAACAGATTCGTGGTTGATATATACGTATTTCATCATAGATATGCGCGTTCATGTGAAAATTGGACAAAATACACACAAGTCAAACCGACTGAAACGATTCAGATGTATATATTTCAATATGAAAAGCTGTATACATTTTTCTTGCTAAATATACCAATAGAACCATGAAAAGCCATACGTCGAAGAAAGCCAGACAACGTTAGCACTCTGCCAAAAACAAAATAAAGTAAAATAGAGAACTATAATATTAGGGCAACACGAAACGGGGAAACAATCAGTTGCTATGGAAAACTTGAGGAATATTTTGATTAGCATGCAACACCCGTCGTATTGCCCAGTAGGCAATCCTGGCAACGTAACAAATTCAGTTAGTAACAAAGGTCAGTGTAAGAGATTGAGATGCTGTGAACGTTTTACTGTCGTCGATGACATATATGTTAACTATACAGAGAACTACAAATTAAGCACACTAATCGGGGAATAAGGCAGGTGATCCGGAACACTCGGAAGCAAATTTTGATAACACAATAGCCGTATTTTCATATCAGTATCGAATAACTGGCTTTTGGGCTGATGATACCCTCTGGTACTAACAGTCTACCAGAACAGGTATTGACCCAGTGATAGTAATACCATTAACGATTCAAATTTTTCTGCACCTGATGCGCATTTCGACAATAAATGTCTCTTATGTGATGCTCACGACCAAAAGATTCAAAAATCCAAATCTTATTTAAAAAATGAAGAGCTTATTAATATAAAAAGAACAAAAAGTTTAGCCAAAGCGAGATATATTCCTTAATTAAAACTCATTTCCATAATTTTGTAACCACAAATTTTAATATCACAATATATGTATTTTCATGTGAGTACCGGCTTCTGAGTTTATGATACCCTCGGGGACTAATAGTCCACATGAAGAGGTATCTGCCTAGTGGTAGTAATACTATTAACGGTACCAACGTTTCCGTATCAGATGCGCATTTCGACAATAAAGGTCGCTTCAGTGATGCTGGAGGCTAAAACATTTAAAAATCCAAAACCTATTTTGAAAAACAAAGAACTTATAAACCAAAAAAGGACAAAAAGTATAGCCAAAGCCGGCTATGAATCAGAGCATTATATGAGGGAGATATATTCCTTATTTCAAAATAATTTCCCAAATTTTCTTGCAGCAAATTTTAATAACACAATATCCGTATTTTCATGCCAGTACCGAAGTACTTAGAAAGATGTTTGAGACTAAATCACCTGAGTTGGTGAACACGTCATATATAATGTATACCCCGTCTACATGTACCATTTATCATTTCAGTATCTTCATTATTTATAAACGTTTACATCACGATATGTCTATTTTGGCATATCTGATTTCAATCGTATAAATTGACTAGATTTGAAAGTATGATATTAGGCAAATTGATATTGAATAAATAAAAGTATACTAAATGACCTGTTAATAAAGTTACTATTACATTAAAAATTACGTAAAGAAATATTTTCAAAGAAGATCGTCTGAAAGAAATAAATCTAGAACAAACCAGTACGTGTGTAAATAAAAATTAAAGTAAACTATTGCATTTAAAATAGGTGGCGAATCAAGAATAATCTCATTGCGTATATAATCGATCGTTTGAATTAAGTTTCTTATTCGTTGCCGATTTTTACTATTCCCGACCGATTGATCATTTTTTTTAAATTTTTATCAACTTTCTGTTTGTTCCATCTCAGTTCTGTATTGGTCATAATTCAATTTTTACGTCAACTTTTCTTGTCTCCCTCATAATTTGTTATTTTGTAGTCACAAGAAAAGCTACCAGGTCTCAAAACATCACATAAAACGAACACACTTTTTGTAGACCATTGATTTGAAAAGAAAGATAAAATTTGTCTAAAAATCTTTATAGAAATATAGATTCCACCACTGCAACAGGTGTGTTACGATATTTCTCCACTCGAGACAGTTAAATTTTAATATTTAAAGCGCGAGGCTTGTCGAGCTTTTTAAATAATTAGAATTTAACTGTTGAGAGTGGAGAAATATCGTAATTCACGAGTTATAGTGGTGGAATCTGTTTCTAATGATTTTTATCCTTCCATTTCAACGATTTGCAGAAAGTTGTGTTCTTTATATGTCACGTCATTAGGCATGGTCGCCTTTTTCATGACGTCACAATAGGAAACTCAGAAGAAACCAAGAACATTTGACGCCATAATTAAATTTCGACCAATCATTTGCCGAGAACAGATATTTCACGAGTGAGGAGAACAATTTTTTCACAATCAGTTAATAAATGTGAAAATAGTGAAATAATTAGAGAAACAGATTTCAGCACCGAATATCGTCCAATACGATATTTCTACACTCGACACTTAAATGTTAGATATTTAAAACACTCGTAAAGCCTGGCGTCTTAAATTTGATAATGGTACTATCTCGAGTTTAGAAATATCGTATCACACTCAATGCAGTGGTAGAATCGAATAGTATATGTACACAATTTGAAGATCAATTTACCAAATTGCAAGGAATCATGATTATTTGAGAAAATCTTCCATATGAATAAGAAGATGTGGTATGAGTGCCAATGAGACAACTATCCATCCAAGTCACAATGTGTAAAAAGTAAACAATTATAGGTCAAAGTAAGGCCTTCAACACGGAGCCTTGGCTCACACCGAACAGCAAGCTATAAATGGCCCCAAAATGACTAGTGTAAAACAATAAAAAACAGGAAAACCAACGGTCTAATCTATATGAAAAACGAGAAACGAGAAACACTTATGAACAACACCAACAAACGACAACCACTGAAAACAGGCTCCTTGTTTTGTCATATATGTGTAAACATGTAGCACAAGTCGTCACAATTAAAGTTTGGTCAGAATCGGAAGTTAATCCGATCAAATAAAACCTTAAAATTTCTGTATCCAATTATCTGATTTCACCGTAGATTTTTTGTTGGGAAGGGAGGGTTGTAATTTGTTGATATCAAACCCCAGTGCTAGTGATTGTCAAGAAAAGACAGTAAGGTGAGAGCTTTTGTTCTTCGTTCAATGCCTAAGAAGGCGTTTTTCCAGGGTTTTTTGGTACTGTAAATTGCGAGAATAGGGATTTCTGCAGTTAAGTCATTATTATATATACCCATTTTTTTTTTTATTGCAATGTAAGGCTGCATTTTCTTGCCATCTTTTTATTGAAAATAGATAGCAAGACTTTTGGTTAAAAACATGATTAATCCTTGCCTTGGTATTTTAGAATGAATAATTTAGGAATACAAAATAAACACGTTTTCTTGTTTTAAAATCAGTCGTCTAAACCAGGTCTGTGCCGTATATTAAGGCCTATATATTCGGGGAATATGTACATGTAAGAATCAGTTGGCTATACAGTTCATACGACGTTCTAATATTAACAGTTACTGAATACACCCTTCAAACACTTACGTACCTCGATGTGCATTTTTCCACATTGGAGACAACTCCAGTTTTGTCAAAGGTTTCGTTTCTTTAATCGACATTTCGATATTTGTATTGTATCCGTTTTCACAATGGCCGACAAATATGTTGATATCATAAACCCCTTTAAGTCGTTTGAGTACTTCTTGGTATGTTAATGTTATAGTGACGTCTTCTTCAGGAGGAATTTCAACGGGCAAAACAAATGAATTTGTGCCCAAAAATCTGAAATAATATATTGATATAAGAAGATGTGGTATGAGTGCCAATGAGACAACTCTCCATCCAAGTCAAAATTTATAAAAGTAAACCATTATAGGTCACAGTACGGTCTTCAACACGGAGCCTTGGCTCACACCGAACAGTAAGCTATAAAGGGCCCCAAAAAATACTAGTGTAAAACCATTCAAACGGGTTCGCTTGTTTGAAAACGTTAAAACGTTGACAATTTCACAATCCGTTGCATATACAACGGATAGTACATAGTATACATGTACTTACAAAATAGAAAAGAAAGAGAAAATACCAAGGGGATAATTGAAAAATCCGGTGTTCTGGAAAGGTACGCAGTTCCTGCTCCACACGTTGCATCTGAGTCTTGTTTATCAAAGTATAAATCCATTGATAAATTAAGACAACAGTAGTTTACCGATGTTCAAACCTCATAAATTGATTAAGAAGACAAATCAAGGCAACACACAAAGCTGTCAGAATCGCATGAACTCCAAAAGCAGCAATTCTGGTGTCTTGATAGAGTAAGCAGCTACTGCTATACATACATCACCCGCATTGCGAATCCACACTCAGTCAAAATGTCACAATCAGGAATACGACACATTGGGGAAAATTAAGAACCATTATTCTGGGACCTAAAAGATCTGAGATTGTGAGTTGAGACACAGACAAATTATACCGGTAATTCGTATTTGGTAATGTCATAATCAAGTTAAACATATCTGGAATGGGGTTATGACAAGTGGAACATATTTCTGTGGTCATCTGCGACACAGATAATTCAGAACGGTCAACCAGATCATTGCGGTGTTTATAAAACTTCCAAACATACACCTTAATATAAAAATAAGAAGATGTGGTATGATTGCCAATGAGATCAAATGACATAGAAGTTAACAACTATAGGTCAATGTACGGCCTTCAACAATCAGCGAAACCCATACCGCATAGTCAGCTATAGAAGGCTCCGAAATGACAAATGTAAAACAATTCAAACGAGAAAAACTAACGGCCTGATTTATGTACAAAATAATGAACGAACAACAAATATGATATACAGCAACAAACGACAACCACTGAATTACAGGCTCCTGACTTGGCACAGGCACATACAGAACGTGGAGGGTTTAACTTGTTTAAATGCGCCAATCCTTCCCCTAACCTGGGACAGCGGTGTAACAGTACAACATAAGATCAAACTATAAATCAGTTGAAAAGGGCTTAACTCATCAGATCATTACAAAACAGAAAGACATCTCACAAAAACACAGACCGGACGTGGCAGTGTTTTTATACATCCCCACAACAAAAAAGACACCAAGTGCAGATCTGCGAGTACTTGCAGTTACAAATAGCTAGTACAAAGCCTAAAACTAAAAAACTAATAAAAAAGCATGTATCTAAGACTATTAAATTATTAATCAGTACACATCCAACATCCAATTAAATGCAATTTAGACGGGTCTTTACTGAGTTTGGTCATAAACTGTGATTCATAACAGTACAAGAACAAGGCTGCTATTAAAGGGACACAATTGGTGCCCATGGGAATACCAACAACCTGTCGATAAACTTTATTGCCGAAACGTACATTAATATTATTAAGGAGAAAATTAACAGCTTCAATCATCTCATCACACCCCTAGTAAGTACATCTAGCATATTTTTACCTTTCTTATTAGAGAAGAATACTTTAAACGAGTTGCAGCAAACATATTTGCAATCAGATTTACCAAAACACCAGTTAATCAAATAGGAAAACTTCTGTTTGATAAGATTGTGTGGAAGTGTAATGTAAAGAGTTGAAAAGTCAAAACTGTCAAAAGAATCAAAGGGACCATCAAAAGCATGTAATTTATCTAAAACATCCAAAGAATATTTTACACTCCAAGTATAATTAATTCCACTATTTTCGTATGTTTTATTACAAAAGTTAATGATAAGTTCTTTTATAGTAATTAAAGAACTAGTTAAAAGCACTGAAAGATTAGTTGTAGAACATTTACTAGAGGCCGAGATGAAACGATATTTTACTGTTTTTTTGTAAAGTAAAAGCATTTTTTTTTGTGTACCTTAAAGCTATTTCTACTTTTGTGTTTAAATAACGGAAATTCAAATATTTCTTTATTCGAAATATACATAATCAAACAGGTTGATTATCCAAATAAAGCTGAAAAAACAAGTTTTCACTGGTTTGTTTAATCATGAGAGAAATATTACTCGTTATTGGTCAGATTTGTCATTTACAATTAGCTGTTTAATTGAATCATTTCGATTTTGTGGCGAAAGAAGTATCTCATCGGTTTATTTCCTTCAGCAATGTTTAGAAAGAGAAAGCTTGTACATCAAAAGAGCCAACAAGATCCACAATTTTAAGTTACCGGTTATTTAGTTCCATATCGGGGTTTTCTTACTCACTTTATTTGCCAGAAGATAGTTCAATGTATTCATAATTCAAACAAGTATTGGTCTGAAGAGTTCGTAAGACATTTATAGGACTAATGTGTATACAATTTTATTTTGTGTCTTAAACTGTCGCAAATAGTTCGACATTATAAACATGTTGTTGATGTCTACAATCACTTACTCTGAAATGCTGTCAGTGAAATTCTCTGATTCTGAAGTTTTCCCGTTAATTGTACCAGTATCCTTACTGTCTTTCCCTACAATACTACTTAGTAATATCTCACCACCAACTTCTCTACAAGTAACAAAGATAATTGACTGTTATTGTCTCAATTTTGAATCAATGTAACTTTATAAATTAAAACAATATTTGAATATAAAAAGGGATACATGCATGACCTGTTGAATCTTAATGTTTCACTCCTTTTCAGTTCATACGATTCATATTCGTCATCAATACTCAGCATACCTATGAAATATTCTTGTTCGTATGGTTGATGCAACCATGATAGCAGAACCCAGATTGCTCTTAAATATGATATTTAAAGACAATTGCAATGATACAGAATGATTCAAACTTCGCGAAAAGGCGCAAAAGAACTCATCTCATGTTAAAGTGTGTATCGCAGCTAATTGATTTCGGGACTCGTACATTCATATTGGTCACAGTTTCACATAACGTTTATATATACATGGGCTTAAACAAGAGTAAACCGCAATATTTGTTGTTCTTTTATACATGTACTTTACTTTACAAATGTAAATTCAAGATTACGACTGTTGTTTGTATAGCAGACTTGTTAACACATACGATAACCTTAAATAGTCATTTTGATATCTGAAATTCAAAATTCGCGCGTTTCAGTATTTAAAGAATAAAAGTTCGAAATACCCTTTCTAAATTATGATTTCGGGTTAAGTTAATACCCTACTGATCTCTAGTTGAAGTAATTAAATAAAAGATTTGACCAATGATATACTTTATAAGGCAGTTACAAATTAAGCTGTGTTTGCAAAACGTATTAGATGTTGTTTTTCTTAGAGGAAGATATTTCATTGTGTTTTAAAACAACTGATAAAGGAGCAATGAAAAAAAAGCTTGCGATTCTTTTTTTTTTTTTTTTAATCAATGACAAAATTGAATTAACGTTATAGAACAGGAAGAATATGTCTCGTTAATTCATGAAACAAAATCACAACACGCGCTTGACGAACCCAAAAGCAAAGAATCAACGCCTGTGCTGCTATCCTTCATTTCTCAGAGAGGTCTTTAATTAGGTGTAAATGTTTAAAACGCCTGCTAGCATTGGGTTGCTTTGTTAGATATTTACTAGATCTATATCTGTTTACTGACGAAAACAAAATTGCTGGGTAATAAGTGTACCAACAATTTATAAACTATATCAGACAAGGAAATCTAACAAATATTGTCATAAATAACCTGACATTTTCACCGCAATATAAAGAAACTTTCACAATTATTTAGACACCTACGGGGCACATCAAGATATATGTTAGATTACTTGGCGGGAAATAATGTATGAGTAGGGCAAAGAATTAGAGTTGATCGCATAACCTTCAGTAGGGATTGCATTTTGTGAACATTGCGTTAATTTCACAATTACTTTATGTTACGTTTGGTCTTAAGTTCTTTCCGGGTACTCCGGCTTTCTCCACCAATAAAAGCTGGCCAACACCTTATGGCCAAGATCGTTAAAAACAACAATAATCTGATTGATTTTAAGGAAGTTCGCTACTCAGTTTCAAAATAACAAGCTTTTCATAACACTAGAATATATTGACAGGGGTCTAATAAAGGAACCAAAAGAGCGGAAAAAAGATATAGGTCCGTGTGCTTGTTTTTGAGATATTAGCCATTGAAATTTTAGCGGGAAAATGTTCTCTCTTGATTTTTCATAGCTTTATCATTGACAAGTTTAAGTTCTCAAAAAATATTTAAAAAAAGACTTTTACAGATGCATTCAAATGGATAAAACCAGAGGATATCGAAAATATGACAAAAATTCCAAAACATGACAAGCGAACATCCATAACTCAAATATAAACATATTCTACCCTTTTCATGGTACTGTTTGTACGGAATCTTGATATTTAGTATATAAGTATTTTGTTGTTTACCATTTCTATCAACGCATAATAGTTTTATTTTGTAAAAACGACGTAATGTAAATGCCTTACATGATTGTTTCAACTTTACAATCAAAGTTTTGTGAAGATTGAGAATTATCCTGATAATTTACGTAATGAAGTATAACTAGGTTTGTGTGCCATCCCATGTGTTTTAAATGGAAAATAAACAAAAGTTTGCTTTCTTATTAATAATATATTATCTTGTAGCGAACGAATTGCATAATTTTTCATTTCGTAGAATCGAAAGGGAGCCATAAAATGTAAATTGCGTTATTTGTTTTTGTAGTTTTAAAACTATATTTATACCTATAATATAGTACGTAATATGTATACGTACTTACAGTGTAAAGTTTGAAATAAAAGCCTCTTTTGGAAACGGTATATCAACAACATAGGTCTCGTTGTCATGACTAGGATTAAACACTGTCAGAATATATATTGTTTCCGAAAATCTATACCGTACATCTGTATCAATATCCAATCTTGTGATGACAAAGTTCTGAAGAAAAAATTATAAAAAAATTTATATGAATGGTGATCTCATTCTATTCATGGAATTTTTAACAATACAGAAGAGAAATATCTATGTATGAATATTTTGTCAAGAGGTTCCTTTATTCTTATTTCCCTTCAAGTTTATATTAACTCTCAAATCATTCAAATTCAAGCTTCTTTCTTATAGAAAGGAAAGTATACATCAAACACATTTTCTTCATAATTTAATGTAAAAAATACAATTAATTTCCATTATCTTGGAAAATTAAAAATAGACCTTTATTTTGTTATTTATATGTGTTATAACTTATAATGTAATGAATTGTATATATTGAATTATTTCTAAAAAATAAAGTCGATAATGACTGCTCAACATCAAACCATATATTCCCAATTTCCATTCTCAATGTTATTGAATACGATCACTGGAAGTAACTGGAACCCGAAGAAAAATTACAGACTTAACAAGGAGTTCGAATAGATTGTCACATTGTGTTTGTATTTCAAAAACAGGGACTGAAAAGCTTTACCTTCCGAGTTTCTGATACATGTATCATTTCTAATTTTTGAAATTCGTTTTAATCAAAGCTCGTAACGGTTTACAGTGTACATTGTTTGCATGAGTTTATGTGTTTTGGCTAAATAATAATTGGTTGTCGTTAGATTTTCAGAATGTCTCCTTTAAAATTAAATAATTACATTAGATGTATATGTTTCATAATTATACGTTAGTTTGATTGGCTAACAGCAATCTCGCGTCATTCTTCATTTCAAAATGAATTTCATGAATTGTAACATACATTTTGTACATGATGACACACGTTTCCACAATAAAGTGAACAGGTTAATAAAAGAAAAAATGATAGTAATCGTGTTTTCATGATCATAGCAAAAAAATGTAATTATAAGTATTGAATGCTTCTTTTAGTCATTTCATAGGGTTGTAAAAGCGTTGACCGTGCGTACATTTTTAGAATGAAGCGCGGAAAAAATGTACTTTGGTCAACGCTTTTACACCCCAATGAATTTACAAAAAGAAGCATTCAATTCCTAAATAACAAAAATAAAAAACTAGAACGTTGTGAGGGTTATAACAATGTTGAAAATCTACGGGGTTATCATCAAAGGTACATACTAGATAGGTAATAAAGTTATACCAAAACATCTATTGCATGCCATCATTCTAAAGTCAATATATATAAGGTATTTTATATTGCTCATGAGGGATACATTAAATTCGAAGTATCTTTAAGCAAGAGTTAAGTTCAGACAATCTCTGTGCACTTCTAAGTAATCTGTCATTGCAAAGCCTAAAAAATGCTATCAGACAGCAATACTTTACAAATATCATAGCCAAAAATTAAAAATTTTGAATTTAAGCAAAGTAATGTGATCAGCATTCTGTGAAACTTGAATGCCTGTGAATATTAATTTAAGTTGCATTTTTTATGTTTAAAATCTAATTTAGATATAGTAAGTACGGGTTAAGAGATATGTCAGATACACAGGTCTATTGAGAACAATAAAAGTTTGATTAAATCAACTTTAATGTAATATCAAACGTCTTGGTAAATTGAAACATTAATGATTTTGGCAAAAAGAAAGACACACTATAATAGTTAAAGGGAAACAGTAGACATATATAAGATAAAATATAAAAAGTCAAAAGAGAAACAAGTTCCATTTGTTTGATGTGTTTGGGCTTTGGATTTTGTCATTTGATAAAGGACTTTCCGTTTTAATTTTTCGGATTGGCATATTTTGTTATTTTACTTTTTATAATATCATTTCATTTATCAATGTTCTTTTCGTGAAATGCGACAAATTCTAATGAAACCAATCATTTAATGTAACATTAACTTCCTTTGTCCTTCCAAAATTTCAAACTCTTAATTCTTGATACTACTTTCGGATCGGTTGACAATTGATGCACTCATAGTGTAGATACTGATTTGGGTATTTCTATCTGCAATGGATCTGACATGTTAGCTCTGACGTACCTAGCATAGGTTACGGTTTTGATCGTGTTACTGGTCGTAACCACATGATAATTGATACTACGTTCGGACCAGACTGCGGTTGGATGCATAGAAGATAATGATAAAGTAACCTTTTTCAAGCAACCTAATCTCACTTTATTTTTAATTTATGCGATTGTGACTGTTTTCACGACACGTTTTTCTGCTTCAACCTAGACTCTTGACATCTGAAATCACTTCGGTATGCATTTATATTTGAAAAATTAAAAACCTTACTTAGTCGCTCCGTAATTCTCGTATCACGGCTTTGAGACGCGGGCAAGCATTATCAGCGATATCACAATGTTTGAGAAGTTATCATCGCCGGCACAGTGTGTGAGGAGACGTTATCAAGTTTGCTATTTCACCCTGCTCACCCTTTCCATAATTCTCGTAGCACGTCTTTGAGATGCGAACAGACATTATCAACGATATCACAATGTTTGAGGAGAAGTTATCCGCGTCGTCACAATATGTGAGGAGACGTCATCAAGCTTGCTTTCGTCAACCGTCTAAGGGAGGGGGAAAGACCAGTAATAGAGCGATAAACAGATAATCGTGTTTTTCTGCGTATAGTTAGCGTGAAAGATCGGACGCTCTACAAAATGTGAAGCTTTTTAGTTCGTTCGATACGCTCACTTACCAAAATGTTTCACATTGTATCTCGTTTTATTTATCAATGTGTAGAAACCTAGATAATCTGTATTTGTTGACTTTATTTTGTCATATTTGCCGGTATCTTACATTGCACCAATGGTATGTGAGTTACATTTACAACGAAACACGGTTGCATTTATGACAACATGAACATCCATTATTCTTTTTATATAAACAAGGTTAGATAAGCGAAGTTAATTAAATATAATAATCCATCAAGTTCAGTCAACCTGTAAGTATATCGCAAAATTGATAATATTAAAAAAATATCTATTTAACCGAACATCTTTTTTCAAATGCAGATGTAGGTGTGTAAACGGTCTCGAATTAGGTTTCTAGATAACTGGGATATAACATAATCAGCGCAATAATTAGCTTTTGATAATTCTTATTAGAAATAATTTGAAATCCGTGGAATCTTTAAAGATCGTAAAGATATGATAGTTTCTGATAATAACGCGTTATAACATTAAAGTCAAACATTTAAAAATAAGTACATTTTATCTGAACTTATCCTTGAACATGATGATATCTTTAACTTCATCAGTTTTATGTTAGGCATAAAACCTTCATTCATGAATGATAATAAAAAAGCATATATCAAACAGGTATCGAAATAAAATATATTTAAAAAATTTAATAAAATAATATAAATTAAAAACATCGCATTTTGATGTGAATAGTGCAATTTTAGGAAAATATTGTATTCGTCAGCGTACAGTTTCAATCATGAGGCAAGTTTAAGACAATTGGTGAATATTATATAAATAACACATAGCTGAGAGGTTGATAGAGTAGATTGTTACCCCGAGAAAACATAGTCAACTGAGGCGAAGCTGTTTGTGTGTGTGTTTTTTTTTTAAATAGTTTTTTTTTTAGTATAAGTGTTGTTTATTGTTATTTTTAGAGAACACTATAGATTTTGACAATCAAATATTCTTTGTCTAACGAATAACAAAAAAAAAAAAAACACTTTGAACAATTTCATATTTTTATGAAGTAAATAAATTGTATGTTCCAATTTATGTTTAATTTCGTTGGATAAATTTCATCGGTTTTTTGCATTTGCACCGTTCAGTATTTCATTTGCGCACTTAATAAAGTATTCCATTTGGTCTATTTTACAAATTACAAATGCGGAACATTATTTTTATCCAATGTATTGATATGATTACGGGTAATATACCCTTTTCCTTCTATCGAATTTCGAGCTGGATAAATTTAGTCTACAAGTTTCTAAAATTATTTACATTAACAAGTGAAGAACCACTTTTTTTTTATCACCACAAAACACATTGACCTTTAATATTCATCGAAATTTTTACAATATAAAATAATTAGGTTTGGAAAGATTGCCAATAAGACAATTATTACCAGAGAACAAAGGACGAGGATGGAAACAACTATCACCCAGAGAACAAAGGACGAAGATGGAGACAACTATCACCAAGAGAACAAAGGACGATGATGGATACAACTATCACCCAGAGAACAAAAGACGATGATGGATACAACTATCACCCAGAGAACAAAGGACGAAGATGGAGACAACTATCACCCAGAGAACAAAGGACGAAGATGGAGAAAACTATCACCAAGAGAACAAAGGACGATGATGGATACAACTATCACCCAGAGAACAAAAGACGATGATGGATACAACTATCACCCAGAGAACAAAGGACGAAGATGGAGACAACTATCACCCAGAGAACAAAGGACGATGATGGGTACAACTATCACACAGAGAACAAAGGACGATGATGGACACAGCTATCACCCAGAGAACAAAGGACGATGATGGATACAACTATCACCCAGAGATCAAAGGACGATGATGGATACAACTATCACCCAGAGAACAAAGGACAAAGATGGAGACAACTATCACCCAGAGAACAAAGGACGATGATGGATACAACTATCACCCAGAGAACAAAAGACGATGATGGAGACAACTATCACCCAGAGAACAAATGACGATGATGGATACAACTATCACCCAGAGAACAAAGGACGATGATGGAAACAACTATAAACGTCACTGTACGGCCGTTGACGATGTACACATCGCAAATGAGTTTTACTGTGCGTATTGCTCTGTGGTTGTTTATTCTACATTGGCTAGATGTATAGGGGAAGGGTTTAGATCTCACAAAACATGTTTAACCCCGCCGCATTTTTGCGCTTGTCCCAGTCAGGAGACTCTGGCCTTTGTTAGTCTTGTTTGTAAGTTTTTAAATTTTAGTTCATTTATATGTTCTGGAGTTTAGTGTGACGTTCATTTCTATTGAACTAGTACACATTTTTGTTTAAGGGCCAGCTG